GGGGGACATTGTCTTTCAAACTACCATAATCTCCATCCCTCCAGGCCTATTTTCTTCAGCCTCATTATCCCTTCCTCTCTCCTTTGCCTTGACAATTTTCGTGTTTCTATGTGGATCAGCATTGGTTGTTTCGTTCTCTGGCTGAGTATCAATCAACCTAGCATTGAATTTGCCTCATTTCTGTCTGCTAGGATTCTTGCTTGGATGTTGTGTCTTGAGCCAGGAGAAATGGTGCCCGATGGAGTGAATTCTTGTTGGTTGAGAATTGTATTCATAGATCAGTTGCCCTCCTGCTTGTTGGTGATTGTTCTAACTCCTGCCAGCTCATGCCAGCTAATGTCTGAAGTTCCATTGGAGTACATTCTCTTTCCTTTTTTTGTTGTCCCAGAACTTCCTCAGTTAGTTATACAGGAATTTAGTTCTAAGATATTGAACTTCTCCTGGAAGAGAACTTAGAAGCGTGTATATGTGTGTGCCCACTCTCAAGTGAACTTGCTTGAAGTATGCAGAAATTCAGAGCATTATTAAATCACCCAAGCTAACCTGGGAAGTACTATAACCAGGGAAGTCTTAACCTGATATTCTTCCCAACCTCCCAAGTGGTGGGTGAGTGACTGAAATAACAGGCCTGGGCCATGAGGCCTAACTGAATATTACATTTTCTTTACTTTCTGAATTATTTTGCCTCTGCTATCTAGCCCATTAATGACGACTGTCAATCTTACCTCCACCCCCACCACTTATCAGTACCCAAGTCAACTCTGTCCACTGAAGGCACAGCACACGTGTGGTACACAGACATGCAGGTGATTATGCACATAAAATAAAAATAAATAAAACCTCAAAACTATTTTCTTATCCTTTTCAATTTTTTAATTAACATTATTTTATTTATTGTGGTATAAAGCTTTTGTCTTTTTTTTAACATACTTACCCTAATTCCTCCTTTCTCCCCTCCTCCTGCTCCCTCCACCTTCTCACCCCACCCCCCTTTTGCTCCTTAGAGAGGACAAAGCATGTGCCACCAACGCCCAGTGTTTGTAGTTATTTTCAGTGCTGGGAAATGAACAAACATCTACTGAGCATCAATTATAGAGTAGACCTCTGTTCCTAGGAGACTGATATGAGACTCGGAGAGCAAAGTGCTTGCCCTATATACACAAGACGGTGGGTTCCATCTCAGAGATGCAGGCAGGAGAGTCAGAATTTCAAGGTCATTCTCCCTGATTAGAGACTGTGATTTGGGAAGTCATTATAAAACATTTCATCTTTACATTACTAAAGGAAGAGGTCAAACAATAACCTGCAGCAGTATAAAGAGGGCAAGAGCTTGGTTTTGGTGGCACAAACCTTTATTCCCAGCACTGGGGAGGCAGGGGCAGGCGGATCTCTGTGAGTTTGAAGTCTGGTCTACAGAGTGAGTGCCAGTATAGGCTCCAAAGCTACACAGAGAAACCCTGTCTTGAACCCCCCCCCCCCCTCAAAATCATCAGGCTTGCATGATAAAACACTTTTCCCACTGAGCCATCTCCAAGGCCTGTACTCTGAAAGAAAGAAGCTGATCAAGTTGACCTATGGAAGAAGACTTCCGGAAAGACAAAAGATAAGGTTCTACAGAGGGAGGATTCCGGCTGAGTAAGAAATGCAAGGGTGGGGTTGCTGGAGGGCATGTGTGAGACAAGGGCTGTAGAAAGTGGAGAGGGGAGGCTAGAGGGTTAGTTTAAGTATTCTAGCTTGGGGGCTGGAGAGATGGCTCAGGGGTTAAGAGCACTTACTGCTCTTCCAGAGGTTCTGAGTTCAATTCCCAGCCACCACATGGTGGCTCACAACCATCTGTAATGTGATCTGGAGTCCTCTAGCTCGTCCTCAGGATGATAGGACCTATAGGAAGCTCATACAGTCATGACCTGACTTCATTGAGTATTTTCCTAAGCTAAAAAAGCAGTGGCACAGCCTTTAGCCCAGTCCCAGCACTTGGGAGGCCCAGGCAGGCAGACCTGAGTTTGAGGCCAGCCTGGTCTACAGACTGAGTTCTAGGTCAGCTAGGGCTATACAGAACTTGATATGAAGACCAGGCTAGCCTAAAATTCAGAAATCCTACTGCTTCGGCAACCCCAATGCTGGGATTAAATGTATGCATAGCAAGTAGCCACTGAAAAACCCCCAAAATTGGTAGTTAGGCCTTGGTGACAGGTGCTTTACCCGGTAAACCCACCTCACTAGCTCAATATTAATATTTTAAAATATTTTCTGCCTTATATACATTCTATGTAACCATGCTAAGGAAGACTTTGAACTTGATACTCCTGCCTTTGCCTCCTTAGTTCTGGGATTACAGGGCTAAGGAAGACTTTGAACTTGATACTCCTGCCTTTGCCTCCTTAGTTCTGGGATTACAGGGCTAAGGAAGACTTTGAACTTGATACTCCTGCCTTTGCCTCCTTAGTTCTGGGATTACAGGTGAGGGGCACTACAGTCCAGGGCTTCATGCATGCTAGATAGCACTTCACAAAGGAATTACATCCTGAGCCCTTTTTCCCAGTACCCTTCTAACTGGAAAAACAAATCATTAAACAACTTTATAGCTGGGTTATGAGAGCTCACTGTAAACAATCCCAGCCCAGTGGAAGTCAGAAAGGCTGCTGCTGAGTTTTTGGATGGCCCGAGCTAAAAAAACAAAAACAAAAACAAAAACAAAAACAAAAACAAAACAAGGATACAGTGAGGCCATCTCAAAACAAAGGAAAAACGAGTATGTGAGCTGGAGATGGTTGAATGGTTAGAGTGCATGCTGCTTTCCCAGAGGACCCTAAGTTTGTTTTCAGTTCCCATGTTGGGCAGTTCACAGATAACTGTGCATCTCCAGCTCTCTTCCTACTTCTCTGGGTCTACAGAGCAAATTTGAGGACAGATTCCAAAGCTACAGAGAAACCCTGTTTTGAACCACCCCCTAAAGAAGGGGTAAATAAGCTATTTGACTGGGTTAACTGTTACTTAGTTCAGAAATTGGGGTACACTTAATGCCACAAACAAAACCAGGGCGCCTACCCAGTAATTACTCTGACTACAGGTATAATCAGGACTGATTGCTTCTTCATGATTAGATTCATATTAAACCTGTTTTGCAAAGCAATTATCAGTAATAACTACACTCCCCATTGTATCGCTTCAGTGTCACTTTTATCATTCCTACTAATGGAGCACCATGCTTAAAGTGACTTGGGGGGGCAGTTAGGTGGTTAGTGGTACTATGAATTGAATCTGGGGTCTCATATATGTTAAGTGCTCTAACAAGAGTTACTGCAGCCCCTTTCGCTATGACAATCTCACCATGTTGATCAGGTTTGTCTTGTACACTCTATGTAGCCAAGGCAGGCTTTGGACACGCATGACCTTCCTTATTCTGGGATTTCAGATCCTAGCCTGTAGGTTTAGTTCACCCTTTAGTTTGTGTGTGTGTGTGTGTGTGTAGGGGGGGAGGTGTTTCGAGGTTGTCCTGGAACTAGCTCTTGTAGACCAGGCTGGTCTGGAACTCACAGAAATCTGCCTGCCTCTGCCTCAAGTGCTGGGACTAAAGGCATGTGCCGCCACCACCCGGCCACACTTTAGCTTCATCTTACAAAATACAAATATTTTCTTGGCTTAATGTCGGGTATTTTACTAGATTATAATTTAAAAACTTGCCATTCCTTGTTTCCATTCCCCGCTACTCCTGACTAGGGAAGCTTAGACACAGTCACCTCAACGTCAGGGAAGGTACAGTTCGTGGAGACTCATTTTTCTACAGCAGCATCCTTTGACTTTGGCATCTACCCTTGGAACTTTCCACACCCTTTTGAAGCCAAGGGATTCCTACTTTGATCTATAGAAAGGCATGCCACACACACTTGTGGACAGGGACCTAGCTTCATGGCTGAATTCTACGAGGTAGATGCAAAAGTGAAGTGCAAATCTCATCTTGACTCCCCATGAACACCATCAGCAGGCCAGCCATCCTCCTGTCGTGGACTTCATCTGAGGCACAACTTCAGCTCCATGTCCATTTCAGACAAGAGAGGGAGCACAAATGGGAGTTGGCAGTTGGGTGTATCACACCATTAAGTGCAAACAACAGAGGTCCATCAGTAGATGACACCTGTACAGAACCAAATATCTCACAGAAAGCTTCTTCCCTAACCTATACTTAATCCGCCAGGGCAGCCAAGCAAGCAAGTTCCTCGGTCATTCAACACCTTCATGGAATAACTGCACATGCCTGGCACAAGAGCCACAAAGTGGTGGTGGTGTTCATTGCCTTCACAACCAGAGCACAGCTGATGGGTAATAGACTTCCTGCCAAGATGGTGCCACCACCCTGCCTCCCTCTGATCCAAGAATTGTTCCAAAGTCCTTTCAAACATGATGTCCAGAAAGGGGCAAAAGGGATTTCAGGGAAGAAGTAAACCAACCACACAGAAAAGAAACAAAAACTAAAAGTCACAAATGAGATCCGGTGTAATATTTTACAACAATAGAAAACAAACCCAAGAACTGCACACTAACAACATACTACAACCTAGGAAAGAGGGCACACAGAGGCTACAGACACAAGCTGAACTTTAGAGTGGACCACAGAACTGGCTATGACCCTGTTGTGCCTGGGACAGGGCAAACAAGTACTAGATCTGGGAATGCCATATTCTTGCCCCAGGTCCTCCTTGCAGCATAACCAGTAGGACACTTTCTTGTCTTCACACAACAGTAGGTATAACCATTTACAGTGTCCAGTCACCATAGTGGAGAGAGATGGACCTGGTGTATTTTGGTGGCTGCACTGGCTCTTTTCCCAGGCTGCTTGTATTACAGCAACAACTAACAGTGTCCCATAGCTTCTGGGTGATAGGGGCACCTTCACGGGCACAGACGTGGGTTTCCATCAGTCTCAGTCTTGGTTGTGGTTCCGTAGACCACTCCACAAGAGTGGGTGATGACAGCAGATAGCCAAACCTGAGATCCTCCCTTTAGTCGTGGAGACTCTTATTTAAGACCTTGTTCCTAGAAAACAAATTTATCCACGGTTCATTCATTCATCATTTCCTCCTTCCACACCTTACCCCCACCCCCCCAACACTGAGATGAGACAGGGTCTCATGTAGATCAGATTGGTCCCAAATTCCCCATCACCCTGCATACATTTCTCAAGTGCTGGGATTACAGGTATGTCGTACTCAGATAATGAACCAGAACCAGGAAGAATCACCATTTTATTTATTTGTTTACTTATCTAGTTTTTTTTTTTTTTTTTCCTGGGCACAGGGTTTCTTCTCTAACAGCTCTAGCTGTCCTGGAACTAGGCTGGTCTACAGAGTTCCAGGACAGGTTCCAAAGCTACACAGAGAAACCCTATCTTGGAAAAAAAAAATTCATTTTGACTAAACAAAGATGGTTGATTTTTAAGACAAAGACTATGTAGATCAAGGTGGCCTTGAATTTGTAGATAGTCCTCCTGAATGACAGGTGGACACCACCACACCTAGCTCAGTTGACTGTGAAAGAAACCTTCCCTAAGAACCAGTTTCTTTCACCATCTGATATCAAACCTACTCAATGCTCCTCAACTCTAATGAAACAGATTTAAGAAAAAAAAACTTTAAAATTATGTCTCTTATGTGTGTATATGAAGATGCCACGATGCACATTAGCTGATCAAGGAACAACTTTTGTGAATTGGTTCAGTCTTTCCACCACATAGGTCCTGGGAATAGAATTCAGGCCATAAGCTTGGCAGTGGATACTTTTTTTTAACTGAGCCATCTCCTGCCCAACAAGAGGACTCTGAGCCCAAGCCTAGCCTAGCTACACAATGAGACCTTGTCCTCAAACACAACCAAAAGCTGGTAGCTAGACTTAATGATATATACTTACAATCCCAACACTTGGGAGGCAGAGGCAAATAGACTGCCCCAAGTTGGAGATTAGCCTGATCACACAGCAAGTGTCAGACTCATAAACACCTCGAGCTGTGGAGGCTACTTACCTGAGCAAGACAAGAAAATACTCAAAACACAGCTGATTAAAAGCTCCCACTTTCAATGTGTAAGCATAGCACTCACCTGTGAATACATCTGGGGCACAGAAGGTTGTCCTCCAGGTGTGGGGGTGGGAAGTTGCAGGCTGGAAGCAGGAAAAGGGCAATCACTTTTCCCTTCTTGTCAGGGACCCAGACTTGTCCACCGTGGAACTGCAGCCGAACCCAACCTTTTGTGCTTTCAGTAAAGCTTCTCCCATGAACCACACACCACAATTCTTCTGTGGAAGTTAAGAGAGTTAACACGAGTCACATACTCAGGCACAAGACTGAGCCAGGCCTTGGTGGCGCACGCCTTTAATCCCAGCACTCGGGAGACAGAGGCAGGCAGATCTCTGTGAGTTTGATGACAGCCTGGTATCCAGAGGGAGGGCCAGGATAGGCTCCAAAGCTACACACACAGAGAAACCCTGTCTCAAAAAAAAAAAAAAAAAGACTGACCAAAGCCTTCCCAGTACTTAATGACTCCAGGACATGCCAGGCCTGGAATAAAACTGGGAATCCAACCTTTATCTCAACCCATCTTGTTCCCTTGTTCCCTACTACAAAAGCATGCACGAACTCCCAGATAACCAAAGGCTTTTTTTTTTTTTTTTTTTTTTTTTTTAAATGAATTAGGTCTACGGGTCTCACTGTGCAACCCTGGCAGGCCTGGATGTTAAAGATATGTGCTTCTGTGTGCCAAGAGCTGAGGCTGGGCCCTCTACAAGAGCAAGTACTCTCAACCTCGGAGCCATCTTCCAGCCCTCGACTAAGACCCGGCACCCACCTGCATCACACTAAGCATGATTTTTCCTTCACTGAATTTTCTGGTTTTTGAGACAGGGTTTCCTCTGTATTGCTTTGGAGCCTGTCCTGGCACTCACTCTGTAGACCAGACTTGCCTCAAACTCAGAGATCCACCTGCCTTTGTCTCCTGAGTGCTGGGATTAAAGATGTGCACCACCAATGACTCACATTTTCTGTTATTCTTACAACATGAGCTCTCTGTATTTTGAAAAGTCTTAGGTAGACCAGGTTGACTTCAAACTTCTGGTCCTCCTACTCAGGTCCTGGGTTCATAATCTTATGATATCTTATATTGGTTGTTTTTGTGTGGCCACTTGACACAGCTCCTTCATGAGAAGGAGCCTTGGCTGAGGAAATGCTTTTTTCAGATCCAGGTGTAAGGCATTTTCTCATTTAGCAACCAACTACGGAGGGCCCAGGCCATGGTTCTGAGCTCTATAAGCTGGACTGAACAAGCCTCGAGGAGCAAGCCAGTAAGCAGCACTCCTCCATGGCCTCTGCATCAGTTCTTGCCTCTGGGATTCTGTCCTGTTTGAGTTCCTGTCCTGACTTCCTTCAGTGACGAACAGCAAAACTGAAGCGTAAGCCTAGTAAACCCTTTCTCCCTCAATTAGCTTTTTGGTCATGGTGTTTCATCATAGCAATAGAAACCATAACACAGACAAGTCTTTTCTGAGTAATGTTTATTTTGTAATGAGAAACGGGAAATTATTGGTGTCACCTACTTAACAGATGTGAAGAGATCCCAGCCTCAATCCCAGAGAGTTTTTTAATGAAAGGGGAAAGAAATGACCTAAAAGCACATGGCTTCCTGCTTGGTGCGTGAGTAATTTGATGTAATTCTCAAAGTATGATTCCTTGGATCAGCATCCTCATTATTGCTAGGGTAGCTGTTAGAATGGGTGTGGTCCAGGAATCACTGGTGGTGGTGACTGATTCCAATTTTTGACTTACCAGAGGTCTCTGCTGTTGCAGTAGAACACACAGACTCATTCTTCTTCTTCATATTATGATTAGCCTGGGCTACAATTTTGGACCAAGATGCCAGTACTGCCTCAGAGGCACTTGTTGCAACGGTGGTGGTGACTTCTTCATAGAGGACAGGAGGCTCAGTAAGGGCAGGTAACTGCTCCTGGGGTACAGGGACCACTTCCAGAGGAATTGTCATCTGAGAACAAGGCATTTCCCCCTCTTCTACCTTCATTTTTTTCCGAAATGTCTTCACCCTGGCCTCTTTTGGTGTGTCAGGCACATTCTTTAAGTCGTGCTAGGACATTATAGATAATAGTGGGAAATAAATATTAAGAGCTGGAAAGATAGCTCAGTGGGTAAAACATTATGAAAAGACTTGAATCTGACTGCATCTCCATATAAGAAGATGTGGCTCACATCTGTGATTCTATCCCCATGAATGCTCCTACAGCAGAATGGGAGGTGGAACAACAGGAGACCCTCTGGCCAGCTAGTATATCGTTATCTGTTAGCCAACGACAAAGAGACTGACTTAAAACAAAGAAGGCAAGAACTGATACCAGTGTTGTCCTCTGACCACCACAAACTCGCTGTAGCATGCCCACATACTCACACATACACTCTATGAGAAGGGGGACAGGAGAGATGCTTCGGTAGTCAAGGCAACTTAACTGCTTTTGGAGAAAACTTGGATCCAGTCCCACCACTTGAATGGTGGCTCATCCACTGTAACTCTAATTCTAAAGGACTCCATGCTCTCTTCTGGCTCGAGGGCACCAGAAGCCCATGTGGTGCAAAGACAAACAAGTAGGCAAAATGCTCATATAATATACTTAAATAAGACACAAATTAAAAGGTGACCAGAATGTGGCTTTGAGTGAGGGCGGTATTGCCAGACGGCACAGATTCACTTAGAGGGGCAAATGCAAGCTAGACACTTAGGATGCAGAGGCAGGAGGTTGCCACTGCAAGTTTCAGGTCAGCAAGGACTACACAGTGAAAACCTATGTCAAAAACAATGCGAATTAACCTAAATAAAGGAGTGATCCAAGTAGGGTGACACATATGTAGTTATGAGCCTGAGAAATGAGGTTCTTGCATTTTAGGCTAGCCTGGGCTATATACAGAGTCATTAAAAAGAAAAAAAGGGGGTGGTGGGGTAGGGACTGGGGTGCAGCATGCATTAAAACTCTATAGATTCATTTTCCAGCTCCAAAAATGAAAATGGCCTTACTTAGTTTTATTATTTTGTGTTCTTTCTTCAAATTAGGGTAGAGGGGGAATAAGGGGCCATGACAATTCTTCAACCTATTCCCCGATGAGGGAAGACAGTTACTGGAAGAACCAAACCTTCCTGTCACTGTTCTTCAAGTACAAGGTTACATGTCGGGCATGGAGGACAGTTTATGTCTAAAATCTGACCAATGAGAGGTAGGCAGATCTTGACTTTGAAGCCACTTTATTCTACATACTGACTGCCAGGGTAGCTTGGGCTAAATACTAAACAGTCTCAAAAAATAAATAGTTACCATTTGTTCTGGGAAAGCCCCTGCAAGGAGTCGTTTATAAGCATCTAATTTCTAAGACAAAAAACAGACAACAACAACAACAACAAAAAAAAGAGTTGTTAGTAAAAGTTTGGTTCCACTCTCCCTCTCTGCAAGAGGCCCCCACAGGGCCCCCACCTGGCCTTTGCTGCTCAGCTTCATCTCCTGGCACCATGCCCGCAAAACATCTCGGTGAATCAAGTTCACTGGGGGCAGATGGGCTGGTAGAGGAGGAATTGGTACCTTCCTACGGGTGGGCTTTGGCACCTCAGCATCTCCTGCTTTCTCCTTTGGTTTACAGCCTGAGGGACAAAGGGAACACAGTAACAATTTTTGCGCAGCTACATAGAATTTGAATGAAGCACCCAATCCCTTTTGGGTCTTTATGTCTGTACCAATCCGCTAATGTACATAGAGGTGCATGTTTAAAATGACCCAACAGTCATACAGGCCACAGAGGACAGACCTCAACGCCTGGACTTTCAAATCCCAGTGTTCTTTTTTTGGTTTTGAGACAGGGTTTCTCTGTGTAGCTTTGGAGCCTATTCTGGCACTCGCTCTGAAGACCAGGCTGGCCTCGAACTCACAGAGATCCTCCTGCCTCTGGCTCCGGAGTGCTGGGATTAAAGGTGTGCTCCACCAACGCCCGGCTTAATCCCAGTGTTCTTTGCTAAGCCTAAGCAAATATGCATGGCTTGCTCCTCTGAGGACCCTCCAGGAATGAATGCAGTTAGTTGGTTACCATTCTCTCCCAGGGACCTGACTAACTAGATCTGAGGTGGATACTCCGTGCTAAGTGCTGCCCAGTTCTTACCAGTGATTCAGTTACAATTCTGTAAGATTCCTAGAACACATCAAGGACAGACTGTACTGACAACAAGCATCGTTAGAGTTTATACAGACCCCTACCAACCCCTTGGTCCCATTCCTTAAAGAGTAGGTCTATCCTCACTATTTTAAGATAGCACGTGCAGCCGGGCGTTGGTGGAGCACGCCTTTAATCCCAGCACTCCGGAGCCAGAGGCAGTCGGATCTCTGTGAGTTTGAGGCCAGCCTGGTCTCCAGAGCGAGCGCCAGGATAGGCTCCAAAGCTACACAGAGAAACCCTGTCTCAAAAAACAAAAACAAACAAACAAACAAAAAACACCAAAAAAAGCATGTGCAATGCATAGTCAACCACTGCCTCCTATTAGTCCCCAAGCAATATGGGAAGAAATGATGGAAAGGATTATCTTGGCAGGAGGTGGGAAGCCCCCTAAAAATTATTCATTACATATATATGTGTGTGTCAGTGTGTATACACTGACAAATCTCATTATAAACGGTTGTGAGCCACCACGTGATTGCTGGGAATTGAAATCAGGACGTCTGGAAGAGCAGCCAGCGCTTTAACCTCTCTGAGCCATCTCTCCAGCCCCACCCCTTTTCTTTCTTTTTAAAAGAGAGCTGGGAACTCTTAGACCTCAGGAGTACATACAGGCCTTTTCCACCCTTTTTCTATGCTTAAGGAAGATTTCTTAAGTTTTAGATAAAAAGACGTAGGACTAAGCATTCACAGACTCTCACCATTTTCTTTCACTGTCTTTTTCTGTCTCTTCCCCGTTGCTGGAACTTTTACAAAGGATGTACTTGGTTGACTAAACATCTGGCATTCCTCTTCGCAAGCCACTCCTGTGCTGCTGCACTGTGGATGGAGGAGTTACACAGTTATCTGGTGTCTTGAACCAGCATATCTCCTTCCTTGCTCTAAACTAACATCTATGGTCCTCATGAGGTCACTGCATATGGCTGCCAGTGTGAATTCTAAGGGGCCATCATTTGAATAAGCAGTCTGACTTAATGAAATAAGGAAACAATGGTTGGGGGAAAATGAGAGGGTGCCAGCAGGAAAAACAGGCTTGTTGGCAACACAATTTTAACCCTAGCACTAGGAGATTTGTCTTCTTCTTCAAGGACAGGGTTTCTCTGTGTGTAACAACAGCCTTGACTGTCCTGGAACTCACCACAGAGTTCCACCCACCTCTGTCTCCCAGTGCTGGGATTAAAAGCGTGTGAACAATTTGTGAGTCCCCTGTGAGACTCTTTGAAGAGAAAAAAAAAATACGTTGTTATAGTTGCAATCTTAGCCTTGGGCAGCAAGTGGAGGGTCACCAAGGGAGTTAGAAGCCATAATGAGCCTCAGGCCAAGTTGAGGCTAAAGAACAAAATCAAAAGTACAAGATGAGATATAAACAAAAGCAAAAGGGAGAAAGTGACAAAAGACAATAGAGTGCTAGTCTGCTTTTGGGGGAAAGCAGCCTGCATATTCCTCCATTTTATCTCTCACCCCAAAGATTGTTTTTCCCCAGACCTTGGTTCTAAGCCCAAAAAGTCTACTTCAATTCTTATACCTTACTCCTTTGGTCTCATTTCAAGTGTTATTTTGCTGGAATCTCTTTGCAGTCAATTAACCACATACTGCCTCATTTCTACGTGTCGACTGACTGCAACCATTCATGAGGTCCCTTCTGTGAGCAGAACTCCACAAGAGTGGGGTCTCTTGCCAGGCCACCTAAAACCCATGGCAGGAGAATGAGCACACCCCAACACTGCTCGGAACACCAGAACCCACAGGCTGGATGACCCAGAGACCTAGGACAGAAACAAATACGACTACGGGGGGAGGGGAGTTATCAATGTAATGGTGCCTAACGATATTCTGCTATACTCATAGACTGTCAGTAGAGAGGCTTCATCCAGCAACTGATGGAAACAGATGCAGAGTCATAGTCAAACATTAAGAGTTCTGGGAATCCTGCAGAAGATGGGGAGGAAAGATTGTAGAAGACAGAGGGGTCAAGATACTGCAAGAAAACTCACCGAATCAATTAATCTGGGCTCATAGGAGTTCACAGAGACTGAATGGAAAACCAGGGAGCCTGCATGGGACCTAGGTACCCTGCATAGGTTACACAGTTGGGTAGCTTGGTCCTCTTGGGGGATCCCTAACAACGGGGACAGGGGCTATCTCAAACTCCTTTACAGGCAAGGGACCCTACTCCACAGACTGGGTGGCCTTGCCCAGCCTTAATACATGGGGAGGTGTTTGGTATTACTGCAACTTGATATTCCACGTTTTGTTGATACTCATGGGAGACCTGCCCTTTCCTGAACCGAAAGGGCGGGGGCAGGCTTGGGGGGAAGGTTTAGGAAGAGAGGAGGGAGGACACCACCACTGGGTTGTAAAATAAACTTATTTTATAAATAAACTGGGTGGTGGTGGTGACCCGTGCCTTTAATTCCAGTATCCAGGATGCAGAGGCAGGCAGATCTCTGTGAATAGGAGGCTAGAGTGAGTTCCAAGGCAGTCAGGACAGTTACATTGAGAAACCCTGTCTCAAAACAGCAGATAAGTAAATATATGAATAAAAGCAAACCCTGGTCAGTTTGCTCCCAAACGTAAGGCCTTTCCAAGCCAGACTTCCACCCCCAAGAGCAGCAGTGTGAGATAAATTAACATTTGGATGCTATTTTGCATCTCAATAGGAACTAGCTTCACATTCGCAATCCAGCTTTACATTTGCGTGTCCTTTTCACAAATAATTCAGTTTTAGACCTAACAAAATTTTTACACAATAAAGTTGGAAATGACGGGAACTTGGGAAGGAGACCTGGAGCACACTCACGAGTCTGGCTCCTGCAGTCAGGCACCAGCAAGGTTTGTCCCTCTGAGTCTGCCTTCCCCTTGGAAAGCCCTAGAAACCCTTCAGCTAGGATTCGTGGGCCAAGGCCTCTGGCTCTCCACCGGTATATAGCAGACAGCTATCCAAAAGCCTCTGGTTCATCTTACCTGCTTTACCTTGTGACCACTTTCCTCCAGCCACAGTACTCTAAATTCCTTCCAAGCAAAACATCCCTTTCCAAAACACAACCGCCCTTTCTACTACACCTACAGCAGTCAGGCCCTGGGGCGCCTCGTCTAAGGCCATAAGAGCGCCCCGCTGCTGAGCCCTACACCTGCACGGAACAAATTCTCGTTCTCTTCCTCTCCCCCAAACAAAGGCCGAGTGTGCACGAGACCCACCTATTTAGAAAGCTGAGCCACAAACAAAACAAAACAAAACAAAACAGCTCTCACCTCCTTGCTTTCAGCATGCTCCATCTTCAAATCAGATGAGACCGCTGAAAGAAGATTCCTCCAGCTTCCAAACGACCTCTGGCCTCAGTGAGCTTTTAGAAATCTCCTCCTACTTCCTGTTGCCTTGATGCTGTCTTCCGTCCACCACCCTCGTGATCCCACTCCCCAACAATTTTTGGTGCTGAAGTCTGGCGGTGGCAGGCTTTTTAGTGTTTAATGAAGACTGGCTTAGAACTTACTTTTGCAGCCCAGATGAGCTAAACTCCCAGGGTGGGTCTGCTCAGCCATAGAAAGGTGTGATTTAGAGTCATGAGCCGCCACACCCTGCTCCTGGGGAACTAAAAACTACAAGTATTGTTGGGTGGCACAAGCCTTTAATCCTGCCGTTCCGCTGCCTGAGACAGGAGCATCTTTCTGAGCTCCTAGAGGCCAGCTTGATCTTAAAAAAAGAAAAAAAAAAAAGAAAAGAAAAAAAAAAGGGAAAGTGGAGTCCCAAAAGAATTCCGAACAAGCTGTGTGAACAGCCTGTCTAATTAGCGAATGAAATTAGAGTCCTGGATTTGAGGAAAACAACCCATTTCTCGTTCCTTGTGAATTCCTTTTCTGTAAACCACAGGGGGCTTGTTTTGTTTTTATGGTGATAGTGCTCTTGGAGAGCCTTGTTTATGCATACTAATCCGTCTACCACTGAGCCACAGCCACAGCCAATAAAATGACAACTTTTGTGAATTCCTTTCAGTCTCATGAAGTTCCGGCTGGCCTGGGGCTCAGAGAGATCTTCCAGTTTCTGCTTCTGAATGTTGGGATCAAGGGGCCTCACTACACCTGGCCAAGGTTTGCATTTCTGTTCTTCCTGTCTCAGCCTGCCCAGTGCTGGAATTCAGGCCTCTAAACCTGGTTTAAAACTGTACATTTCTATCTGCCTACTCTTAATAGTTTATAAAGTCCACTGGGAAGTGGTGGTACAAGCCTTTAATCCTAGCACTAAGGAGACAGGTGGATCTCTATGAGTTCAAAGCCAGCCTGATCTACAGAGAGAATTCCGGAACAGCTACGGCTACACAAAGAAACCCTGTCCCCAAAATAATAATAATAAACATAAATAAGATAAAAATTTAAAAAGCAAAGTTCAGCCTGTTGCTAGTGCATGCCCAGGACAGCCAAGGCTACACAGAGAAACAAACAAAAAGGAAAAGTTCATGTTGAATTTTGCTTTGTCTCAGTGTAATTGGAGAAAACATCAATGGGATTGGAGACATGGGAATTTATTTGTTTATCGTGTGTGAGGGCTGGTCATGCATGTGCCAAGGCAATCCACAGAAGGTCTGAGGACTGTTTCCACCATGTGGGTTCCAGGTGTTTCGAAAGGAAGAAAGTCTATGCCAGGCCTGACGGGCAAGACATTGGTTCTCCACGCTAAGATCAATGGAAGAGTTGTTTAACATCTCAAGGTGTTGTTTCTGATTGGATATAGGGTCCACTCCACAAGACAGAACTAGTGCCTGAAACTGACTAATATTTGATAGAGAACTGGTGGCTAGATAAGTCATAGGCCTTAATGGAGAATCTATTATTTTGCTAAATGGACTTAAATCCTCTCCTAAAGATTTATCATGGGCCTGGGGTTGGTGACACAGGCCTTTAATCCCAGCACTGTGGAGGCAGAGGCAGGTGGATGTCTGTGAGTTCGAGACCAGCCTGGTCTACAGAGCGAGTTCCAGGATAGGCTCCAAAGCTACACAGAGAAACCCCATCTCAGGAAAACAAAAGAAAGAAAGATTTATCATTATACGAAGTGCATGAATTGCAAAGTCTAATTCCTTTTAGCATCTCTCAACTGACATCAGAGAAGCTTTTTCCAGCAGTGGCCGGCAATTAACCCACAAACCCACAGACCCCACATCTCATCAGCATGCAGAGGACACAGGACTACAGAGTGTTCATCCTAGGAGTGGGGTGCCTGTGTCACCTCTTGGAGGATAAAAGGGCCAAGGAAAACACCCTACCCCTGGGTTAAACCTGAGGTACAATACACACACACACACACATTAAACCTGAGGTACAATACACACACACACACACACACACACACACACACCTGTGACAACTCATCATTAGATGGCCAAGAAACACTGCAGGTCTGGTCTGGTTGAACATTTCCACTAGCTCACCACAAATATTCCAAAGACCCTATTAAAAAGCCCACCCCTCAGCTGGGCGTTGGTGGCGCATGCCTTTAATCCCAGCACTCGGGAGGCAAAGGCAGGAGGATCTCTGTGAGTTTGAGACCAGTCTGGTCTACAAGAGCT